GATGGATATTGATTATATCTATGCGCCAGTGAACTACAACGACTATCATTGGATTGCTATGTGGATATCGATCCCTAAGAGACAAATACTCGTCTGGGACAACATTTATTTCTCTATCTCCGAAGAAGAACTCGTTGTGATAATGGAGCATTTTCTCTACATGATCCCTTATGTACTTGTTGAATGCGCTTCCTCTGATGAACAACGTGCCTAATACACCACAGAGCCATTCACATATACCCGTCCCATCAATATACCTGTGATTGTGGCGTGTACGCTCTAAGGTACATTGAATGTCATGCTCTTGGGTTGCTATTTAATCAAAAAGACTTTGATAAGGCCAACGGGAAGGCTAAGAGGGATAAGATGGCGGTAGATATATTTAAAGAGCTCCTTGGCCAACATGAGAAAGAAAACGAGGATAATGATGAGTGATAAACAAACTACGTTATTTTGTATGATAGATTAGGCTGATGTTTGTATGTTTGTATTTGAAATTGATTAGGCTGATGTTTGTATGTTTTGTTTTTTGTAACCTATCTTCTGCACAGAAGACTTCGCAAAAAACATACAGTTAAGTCGTCTGGAATGTTGGCGACTTAACTATAAGTCGGATGGAAACTATTATGTGCAGTGACCTTTTAGAACCTTTCAGATAATATAAATATAAAAGACCTTCTTAAATTTGGTAGTGCAATTTCTTAACAAAATTTGTTAATACATAGATTCATAACACAAATTATTAATATATAGATTCATAAACCCTGCACGACTTAGTAAAAGACTTATAATTAAAAGTCTTCCAGCTGGACGACTTAGTAGAAGACTTATAATTAAGTCGTCCAGCTGGAAGACTTTCCAAACGACTTAATTATAAGTCATTTACTAAGTCGTTCAACTGGATGACTTTCCAGATGACTGAATTATAAGTCGCCTGAGAAGTCTTTTCTTTTCATCTTTCTTAATGCATAGATTCATAACACAAATTCTTAATACATAGATTCATAACACAAATTCTTAATACATAGATTCATAAAAGAAATTCTTAAAACTAAACACTAGACGACTAAATTTAAGGTCTTTTGAAGAATAAACAGGACGACTAACTTGAAGGTCGTCTGGATGACTTACTTGAAGGTATTCTCAAATATTAAACACTGGAAAACTAAATTTAAGGTCCGCTGGAAGAATAAACCATGGACGACTAAATTTAAGGTCGTCTGGACAACTTACTTGAAGGTCGTCCACGTCATTCTTTACATTGTATTTTCGCCTGGCCAGTTTCTTTGCATCCTGAGCAACTATAAACCATGTGTTGCTTCCGGGATTTGCATCCTCTCATCCTGGATAGCTCCAACCATGATTGCCATCTTGATTTCTTTGGTCTCCCCGGACCACGCTTTACATCCAGAGGAAAGCATGTGCGTTCCTCAACTTGTTGTCCAATACAAGGATTTATATTCTCTGAGTATCCTGCAAACAAATAATTATTTGGGTACACTGGACGCACAAGTGTGGAGATATGCAAACCAGCATGTGTTCCAGCAGCTATAGCATGAGGGCAAGGTATTTTCTCCACTGCATAGACACCACAATCACACTTTCCATGTTCCAAATCAACAACACAGTTCATTTTGACACCTTTCACAAAGAATCGCCATCCATCAATTGGTTGGGCCCTCATCGTATCTGTTATCTCCGATCGAACAACAAGCAAGTATTCAACACCCCGACTATGTTGAGTTGGGAGACTCAAGGCATCTTCTCTCCTTTTCCAAAACCTCTTTCCTAGCTTCTCTCTTATGAACTTTAACATAAACTGAATTGGAAATCCTCTAGCTCATTTCAGTGCGGAATTAATAGATTCCACGATGTTGTTTGTTTTTATGTTGTACTTGTCCCTCTGAAAATAAACCCTTGACCATAGGTTAATGTCGGCATTCTCCAAATACGTTGCAAGGTCCGTGTTTCAACTCCGTATCTAAACCATGTACCGGTCAAAATCTGAAACCATATGAGCATAAGCAACACCTTTCACCAAGTACAAGAGATGTTTTCCTTTATACTTTTTGACAATGTTATCTTGAAGGTGATAATAACATATTCCTCGGGTTTTCCAAGTAAATACGTTATCACACGCACTTTTAATGTCTGTGTGCTGGCCGGAGGCTTTCACCAGAGGCTACTCATCAGATACACAACTAGCCAATTTTGTGAAAACCATTCCCAAAAAGGTTCATCTTCAGCATCTACGATCCCAAAAGCCAATAGAAATGTCTGAAAATTCCTATCTTGTGCAGCTGTAACTAACAGTATCCTCCAAACATCAAGAAGAAGGAAATTACTTCATTGCTGAGCAAAGATTCTCCTTCTAGTAAAACTTGTATAGCAACTTCTCGTTGAGTGCACACTCGATTTCGATATGAACTTCAGACACATGTTCTGTTTGACACTCTCTAATCAAGTCAATTACCTTTTCCTTTAAATCTTCTATCTCATATTCTATCTCAAATGCATGTGAAGCTTTGTATTCTTCAAGTGTTGTTTTTTGTGTCGCATTTAGGTTTTTGGGATCCATCTTGAAAAGAAAATTTTCAGAAACTATTAAGAGGAAGATGGAGGAGATGATGACGAAGAAGAAGAGAAATATAAAAAAGATGTATCTAATTTATTACGTCTGCATGATGGGAAAAATAAATATATTAAAATTAATTACAAAAAGATAAATTTATATCTAGAAATAGTAAGCAATAACAATCTAGCATGTGATACTAATGCATGTTTTATTTTTCGGTCTTTGTCTTCACCCATCGCTCTCTTTCAGAGGAACGAAGTCTAGGCAGTCATGCTCTAGATGGTAGTTTTTTTTTGGTAAAAAGATAAAGAAATCTCATATGGTAGTTTGGTAAAGATATAATCTATAATACATAAAAAAAATTCATCATTTAATCACTAAATCATTAAATTTTCATATTAAAAATATTACATAAACCACGATGTATTCCAATAATTTAAATAATTTTCAAGCTAGTATAACTATCGCATGTAGTTTTAATAGTTTGATAATAAAATAGGAGAGTCATGTTCTTTTACTTTATTGTCATGTGTGTTTTCATATTCATATCGAACTAAAATGTATAAAATTATGTTTAATGTTTAGGGTATATGGATAACAATTTTAAATTTAATACTGTTAAGTATGTTTAGTTACTAAAGAACCATATATATATAAATTCATCTCCATGACCTTTTGAATCTTATATATATATTATTATATTTAAAGACCATTTAAACGATGTTTACCAGAATAAATTATTTATGAATTTATAAATAAATGTTGCAAATTAATTTGGGGAAATTAGGAAAATAAGCCTTAATGACATAGTTTTTGTTCCTTTATACATTTGCATTAATTGGTCATTTTGGACATAATTAACCTTATATATCCATAATGAAATAGTTTTTGTCCCTTTACACACATCACAACCAACAAAGAACATTATATAAAATGTGAATCGATCATTCTCTTACTCCTTTTTCATCACTCCATATAGGAATTCCTGAGAAAACTACATCTCCACTATAGCATCCCGTTTCTGCTCCCACACAGCAGTCACAACATCTTCCATTGCCCAGTAAAACTTGCCTAGCAACTACTCATTGAGTGCACACTCAATTCGGTAAAAATATATCGCATCATGAACGATTGAAATTGCACAAGCACTGCACATGGGAGAAGATTGAGAGTGTGTGGTTCACCGGGTCCATGTCAATGCCTCCATCAATTATTTTATTTGAGTACTTGAACATGTATCCTCCAAACATCAAGAAAGAGGAAATTACTTCATTGCTGAGCAAAGATTCTCTTCCTAGTAAAATTTGTATAGCAACTTCTCGTTGAGTGCACACTCGATTTCGATAAGAACTTCAGACACATGTTCCTTTTGACACTCTCTGATCAAGTCAATTGCCTTTTCCTTCAAATCTTCTATCTCAAATGCATGTGAAGCTTTGTATTCTTCAAGTGCTGCTTTTGGTGTCGCATTTAGGTTTTTGGGATCCATCTTGAAAAGAAAATTTTTAGGAAGTATTAAGAGGAAGATGGAGGAGATGATGAGGAAGATGGAGGAGATGATGAGGAAGAAGAAGAGAAATATAAAGAAGATATATCTAGTTTAATTATTACGTCTGCATGATGCAAAAAATAAATAAATAAAAATTAATTACAAAAAGACAAGTTTATATCTAGAAATAGTAAGCAATAGCAGTCTAGCATGTGATATTAATGCATCCTTTATTTTCGGTCTTTGTATTCACCCATCGCTCTCTTTCAGAGGAACGATGTCTTGGCGGTCACGTTCCACATGGTAGTTTTTTTGGGTAAAAAGGCAAAGAAATCTCATATGGTAGTTTGGTAAATATATAATCTATAATACATAAAAAAAAAATTCATCATTTAATCACTAAATCATTAAATTTTCATATTAAAAATCTTTATATATAAAGAAGAGCTCAACTCTCTTCTCCTTCTCCCACATCACTTGATGATGTCATAAATCAAAGATTCTGAACTCACCACGTGTCCTTTTCTCAAAACACACCGTTTCATTTATTCTGTAAAGCGATCAATTTGGCCTTTAGTTGTAGCTGGGCTTCGTGTTAATCTCATAGAGTCCAGCCCGTTATATATAAACTCCACCTACGTGAAACGCTGCGGTTTTCATTTAGGGTTAAACCCATGTTCATCTTTGCCTCTCGATAGTTCATGGCGATTAGATTGTCGAGAGTGCTCTTTCACCTTTTTCCTCAGACTACAAACGGATACCAGTTAGAGAATAATCTCTTAAAACCTTTCACTAATCCAACACCGACTATACATTCAATGTGATTTCTGATCCTCTAAGGCTGTGGAGATTCAAATATAAAAAAGTAAGCTTTACTACTTTGAGAATTATCCTCTCTTTCATTTTAATGTAACAAGTAAACTAATATTGTAAAATATGGCTAATGTGTATGTCTTCTTCTTTGATTTGTAGATTGGCCGTTCCTCTTCCACCGTGCTCTGTTCCTGGGAGGCCAGGAATGTCTGATGTGGTGTAGAGCTTGGGAGTGGATATGCTCCTACTGAATTTCCAGGTTTTTTATTTAACTCTGCAGTTTGTTCATAAATATAGTTATTTGACCGGTCGGTTAAGTTTTGTAGACATTTCTGCCGTCCTGAATCCCTTCTACATAGAACATACTTCAATAAAACAGGTTCTAACGGTTGATAATTATTATATTTCACTTATGTTCAGGCGATTATGATGCCGGCCACCGTGAATGTCAACCGACTTGCGACTCACAAGCCCAATCTGAAAGTTGGTTCGGTATATTCCCTAATTGGTTCGATGTCACCCAATGTAACCAACACTATAAATAGATATTGAGCATTTAGTATTTTGTTTTCTCTTGGCAGTGACGTGTATGTGATGTTGAGTCTGTTTAACTTGCAAGCTATATCTTTTCACAACAAGCTTGAAGGTTTTCTTGGTGAGCCAAGATTTGTTTTTGCGACAAGTATCAACCCTGATTGTAGGAGGTATTTTTGTTTTTGACCCTTATTTTTTTTTGAAATGGGTTGGCTCTAATATTTCTTTGCAATATTTTGGAGGATATTTTTGACAAAGAGACTAATATAGGGGAGCGTATTTTGACAAAGTAAGTTATTGATCTCGGTTTGTTAGTTTACTTATCCATCACATATCTAACTATTTCCTGCACAACACTGTAGGCTGATATCCAATGATGCTGGGATTATTCAAGCATCTTCATTTCTGAGGGCCTACGCTAAGCTTGAACCTCTAACCATAGCTATGCTAAATGAGTTCATCATCACTGTCCGGCCACATGTTACATAGAAAGATTTATTTGTTATAATTCTTGCATGTGTATACTCTGTATGTGATCACAAACTTTGTAAATGCAGGATATCGACTTCATATGCACCGGGTGGGTCACCAAGAGCTTTAGCTCTTCCGGTGGACTCTTAATCATATTTCAGAGTATATTTCTTACAGTGTCAGCGTTTTCAAGTTTCCAGAATATTATGAATGATGGTTACGAATGTGAGCTAGAAAGAGGATAAGGGAAGAAGCATGGACTGCATTTGTAATAAATATGGTTCAAACGAGTAAGTGATTCTACTGAGTGTATTTTTAAAACTCGATTGTCTTTGTGTAACTGCAAGAGTTAGTCAAGATGTAAAAACTTTAGAGCTACAAAACAGATGTAGGTCCCATTCGGTAGTTCTTAATGCTTTTGTGTAATATTGATTTAGTCTTTTATAACATTTAAGAAACTCGGGCATGAGTTTTAAAAAATAAGAAGCAATATGAAGTTCTTAACAAGAAGAAACATGAAGTGTTGGTGACAACTCAAGAGTTGCTTGCAATGTCCCAATCTTAAAGAGGAAGTCTTATGGAACCAACATGATTCTTACAATGCCACCAAGAAGATGCATGGTCTCAGAAGCGAAGAAAATGTGTACTGACTGTTTTTATTATAAGCAAATGGATAAATTCTTGGATATGATAACCTTTCCATAGTCCCTATATGAACTCATAGATCCGTTTTCGTTTACTCTGTTTTCTTCAGATTTCTTTATTAATAATCAATATTTCGCTTCATTTTCAAAGATTCCAGTATCTTTTTTTAATACATGGATCTTCAGTTGATAATTATAAAAAAACTATGCTCATACAAAAAAATAGATTGATGAACACTCAAGTTATAAAATTACAAAGATGATGAATTAGCCTCTATTAATAACACATATCTATTCCAGTACAATCGAAAATAATAAATAATAACAATCAGTCAGTGCACCTTTACATGGATAACAACATATCAAACCTAAAAACATTACAACCTTACTCATCAAAATACTTGCTTGAACCACACGTTACTTTGTTCATTATACCCACACACTTATACTCTTGATTGACTAATAAGTCTAATATAACATAACATATTAAACGTTGCATTAATCTTCATTTGCCTCTGTTAAACAATCATCTTCATAGCAAATCTAGATGTGATTCTACTTATCAGCAATGATTCTTATCTTCTAACCAAGATATGCGATCAAAAATTCGTGAAAATAAACCCTTAAACTTCTAAAATATTGTATCAAAAAAATAATAAACAAAGCTCATGGATCTTTAGTTTCGAATTATGATAAACATTACACTCAAAAACCATATACTTCAAAGCCCAACAAATAAAGAAACCAATGTGTAGCCACAAAATATGCAGACGCATATCCAATAACATTAAACCAAGAAACACAACAAACCATCACAAAACTATATATACTATTCTATAGGGATTTCTGTGACAATTAAAAAAATTATTCTATAGGATATTCTATTTGCAAGCACAGAATATTTTAGGATGAAAATTTTTACTAACAACTTAACAAATATTTTTTTAATTTAAAAAAAATTACATTTAAAATACTTATGTATTTAAATCAATGTTTTTAAATTCGACCTAAACTCGCGGTTAAACAGGTCAATTCGGTAATTCGGTAATTCGGTAATCCGGTAATCCAGCTTAGAATTTTAAAAATATCCATATTTACAGAAATCATTAAAAACTGAGACTAACCGATTGAACCGATGGATAATCAATATATAATATTTAGACGTTTAAAATAATTCTATTTATTTTCATTATCTTATAAATTATTGAAATTTTAAAAATTATTTAATCTCTAAATAATTTAATTTTTTTTAGAAATTATTGCAAATATGAGATCTAATATTTTGTATTATTTGGATACAAAATTAATTATAGTGTTGTTTAGAAACATAGATAATAGTATAAGAAAAATGTATATTATTTGGAAATATAGATAATAGTATAAGAAAATATTAGTGATCAAATATAGGTTTAACTATATATAAAGTAGAAAAATGTATTTAATTTAAAAACTTACAAGATAAAGATTAGGTCCAACTCAATGTTTTGGTTTTATTAAAATAGAGACAACCCTCACCAGATAAGTACATGAACTAAAAATATTATAAACCATCCACCCACTATAATGTGTAAAATACATCAAATTAAATGTACTCATCTTAACATAAAATAAATGCAAAGAACATATACTATAGTTAATTACAATATAGGGCCACCACATTCTTTAAATATGTATTCTACTAAAAATCGAAAGAATATTAATTTTCATAATTTAAACATTGTTCTATTTCTCAATACATTTAGAAACAATTTTCCAATTTCTTTTTTGATAAAATATCAAATCCCGCGCGAAGCGCGGATTTTCCCTATTATTACATAAACTATAGCCGATGTATTCCAAAAATTTAAATCATTTTCAAGCTAGTATAACTATCACATGTAGTTTTAATAGTTTGATAATAAAATAGGAGAGTCATGTTCTTTTACTTGATTGTCGTGTGTGTTTTTCATATTCATATAGAACTAAAATGTATAAAATTATGTATAATGTTTAGGGTATATGGATAACAATTTTAAATTTAATACTGTTAAGTATGTTTAGTTACTAAAGAACCACTTATGAATTTTTGGTTTGGTTCAGTTTAAACCAAATGAAACCGTTAGGATTGATAAAACCTTTTACAGATTGGTTGTGACATATATTTGGGTTTGCTTGGATTCGATTTGTTAATTTTAGTTTGATTCGAGTTGTTTTTGCCCAACCCTAAGCGATATGACCTTGCATAATTAATCATATATATCATGTCTAAATTCCTGGTAAAATTAATCATATCATGTAGAGTTAAACAAACTATTGTACATTTTCACCCAAAAATTGGATAGCTAATTAGGCTTAATTTGGTCTTGCGAAACTATGATTGTGCTGCGAAGGCCCAATAAAACAAATATAATAGGCCAGACTGAAGGTGGATGGAAGCCCTAGCTAGCTCACCAACATGGAATCATCTTGTATAAATCCCAAAACCTAGATTCAAGAAGCAAGTGACTTCGACGCCGGGAATCAGCAATGGGTATGTCTCTCTCTCATCTCTTTCTGCTGTGTTTATCTAATGTTCATTAGACTTTGGTGATATATGTGTTTCGTATGAAAATGGAATTAAGAGTTTAAAAAATGTGATTTTTGTTAACGACAGGAGCATACAAGTACGTGTCTGAGCTATGGAGGAAGAAGAAGTCGACAAGACGAACAATGGAAGGCAAGGCCAAGCAGGTATTCTTCTTGTCCTTTCTATATATTTTTTTTTTTGTCACGGAAATATTTCATTAGAAAATAAAGATAGAGAATGAGCCAAAAACAGACCCACTCGAGATAGTTCAATACAGATAGATATGGACTTGAAGAGTCCATTTTGCTAAAACGATGGCGACAAAGTTTTCAAAACGAGCAAAGTGCGAAAAATAGATGTTTGCAAACTCAGAGGAGATCGATCGGATGTCTTTCACAAAACCGATGATTTCTTTGAACTGTGTGATGCCGGAAATAGCTCTAAAGAGCGTTCGATTGTCGGAGAAGACCCTAAGCATAGGGAACTCCAAGGTTTGAGCCATGCTCTCCTTTACTTCAATGATTAGAGGCTTTGAACTCTTCACTGAGAAGGTAAGTAATAGGAGACTGTGTCGAAAATGGAGGCTGATGGGAGACCAGAGCAACTGAGAGATGACTGTAGAACAGTATCCATAAGCTGTAGAGAAAGACCTTAATTGTCTAGATTTGGTTCTAAGATTCCCGAGAAATAGAGCAGATACTGTGTAGCCTCTACTGGCATGTGATAGCTGAAAGGATAATGAAATAAATTCAAGAGCAGAATCACGGAAAGGGGCTAGGTGAACCCTGTAGACTGAAGCTGTGGAGCATATTGGTTTGAAGATTGTGCAGCTGTTTAAAGATACTCCAGATATGTTGCTCGTTATGAACCAGATGCATTCCGGTAGCTCAACTCTAAACTTCCCCCATGTCAGATGCGACCTGAGACAAGACCTCAAAACAGGACGGTGATGCCATGGTGTGCCGGAGAGACGTAACTGCGAACTGCGAAAGCACATTGGTAAGGACAGAGCATCTACAAAGCAGTACACCAACCATAACTTAACCATCAAAAGCCAGTCCTCATAGCTTTGATTTGTTGCGTAATGGACAGAGATAAGCGTGGAGACGTTTCTTTCTTCAACCAAAAGCCTCACATCACTAAGCCAATCTCGAAGAGATTTAAACACCGCCCTTAAGGCTAGATATGACACATAAATATCAAACTGGGTGTTCATTGACGAAAAGGTTTGGAAATAAAATTCAAAGTCATCAACGCTCATGGATCTGAAGGAATGAGAGGGAAGCGTGTTGGTTCGACGCGGTGGCGGATAAAATAGATCTGGCGGGACCGGTGGATCTGGTGGCTCTGGTAAATGGGGAGGAGGAGCAACGAGGTTCTCCGACAAGCTCCTCATGCCGAGAACGAAACGGTGTTCTTCTGAAACCATCGGACTTGAGGGAAGTATCTTGAACAGGGTCACATCCTCAGACGACATGGAGCTAAACAGAGAAGAGACTTGAAGCTACCGATGGAGTGAAGAGTCGCGGCGGTCATCAGGAGTGGGACGAGGCGGAGGAGGGACACCGGAGGCAGAGGCTCATGTTGAAATCTTCAATCTTGCGGCTGCTTCGGGAATCGTGCTTGGGAGCGTTTTCTAGGGCGCTCACTTATTTTTATTTATTGATTCGTCTCCTTTCTATATAAATGTCAGTAGTTTTAGGTAATCTCGAACCAAGCCTTTGATTGTAAATAAGCTGGTCAAGCGGTGTCTTGACACGTAGACATTCTCCTTTTTTGAGTAGATATGTTTGCGTTAGCATGATAGAATACTTCCTGAGACCAGCAAGATCAATTCAATCTTCTGACCGAACAGCTCTTTATCTCTTGTAGACTCTGTTCTTGTCTAAGATTGATACACTTTTTTTTTATAAGCCATGGATTAGTGTTTTAGTTTGATTGGTCTTGTTTTGCTGACCTATGTTGATTCGTTGTGTTAGGGCTTTCCGTGTGCCTGTGAGACGTGGAGGGCGCAAGAGGCCTGTTCCCAAGGGTATTGTCTATGGTAAACAAACCCACAAACCAGGGAGTGACACAGCTCAAATTCCAGCGCAGTAAGAGATCTGTTGCTGAGGAACGCGCTGGGCGCAAACTTGGTGGCCTTAATGAGGTAACCACCAATCGCCAGTTACCATTCAGTATAGTTTAACTTATACAATTAGGCATTTGCTTGTGTATGTGTATCTTCTACCGTCATCTTTTTCGCTAACATGCTGATATGATGGTGATTAATGGTGGGCTTTGTCTCTTATGTACTCAGGACTCTTACCTACAAGTACTATGAGAGAGTATACTTGTGGACCCTGCAAACAATGCCATCCGAAATGATCCGAGAATCAACTGGATCTGCAACCCAGTGCACAAGCACAGAGAACTCAGAGGGCTCACCTCAGAAGGAAAGACGAATTGCGGTCTTCGTGGAAAGGGCCACAAGAACAGACCTTCCCGCCGGGCTACCTGGAAGAACAATTCTCTATCTCTCCGCCGGTTATCAGCTTTGTGTTTTGTTTTTTTTGCTCGAGTGGTATATTTTCCGTTTGGATTTATGTTTCAGAATTACATTGGGATGTATAACTTTTGCATTCAAGAGGTTGTTTTGAAAGTTTTGAGATTCCTTAAAACATTGAATCTGACCATAAAGCTATGTTTCTTGGTTAATTTGGATTGTTATTGTTTTTGCTTAATACTGAGTCTATGAAAATTTACTCGAGATATGCGTCTGCTTAGAGCCTTCCTTCAGTGAAGCTGTCCTTTAAATTCTGAAGAGATTGACGGATATTGTCTTCGTTCTGTCTTGAGTACTTCAAGCATATCAACTTTTGAGCGACTCTGTAAATCCGATGCATTTCATGGTGCTTCTCACAGTTTAGCTCTATTCTTTTCATTTCCTGCGTCACACATTCATTATAAACACAGAAACTCAAAAATGATCAAATTTGTTTTTAAGCTAGACTGTATGATGAATTAAGTTCCTGCATTTTCAATTTTAGTGAAATTTTGGGTAAGAATACCTTGTGTGTGATCCTTGAGGTTATGGCCCTAGCAGTTTCGATCACTGTATTAGGCAGACCAGCCGCTTCGGCTAACAGAAGGCCGTAGTGAGGAACATGTAAGGTTCCATCTCGTAGTTGAAACTGATCAGTAAATGTAACATTTAGCAGCAGTAGGTATAGATAAAACCACAGAACCCATGCCAGTGGAATGAACTCAGAACCTTGAAGTCTAAGCGGTTGTCTCTGATGTCTACATAGAAGTGCAGAACCTTGACATTCGGGTAGATGGTTCCCAACTCTGCCAGGCTATCCATATGGGTTGCAAAGACTGTGTACCTGCAAAGTTCATTTGCATTTACATTTACTTGTTAAGTACCTTTCAGCGACCTGAAAATGAAATAAAAAAACTCATCTAAATGCTTACGCTTTGAGCGATAAGAGGTGCTCGCAGCAGCTCCATGCCATTGCTAACCCGTCTGAGGAAGAAGTCGCCCTCCCGAGTTCGTCCATGACTATCAAACTCCTACATTTCCAAGGGTTAATAATATATATGAAACTGAGTGTGAGGTTCACTTGTGCCAATGTCTTTCACAAATCCTACCTGTTGGAGACATTCTGCATTATGAAAGCGGTCTCTCTCATCTCTGTCATAAACTGCGACATTAAAAAGTAAAAAAATTGATATCAACAGGCTCTCCATATGATATAGGAACTGTTGGGATACATCAACACGCTAAACCTCTACCAGTATTGGAGAATTTAGAGGTTTACCGTGCTTGAATTTGACTCAAGGTTATCCATTGTCCCCATTCTTGTGAATATGCGGTCAACCACACGCATAGTTGCAAAGCGAGCTGGGACATAGCACCCAATTTGAGCAAGGATGACTACTAGACACACCTGCTGGAGATAGGTGCTCTTTCCGCTCCTTGGGATATGGAATGCAAATACAAACATGAGCCGATGAGTGTATTTTTTTTTGGACAATCGATCAGCAATTGAGGAAGTAAAGCAAGAGTTCCCTTACATGTTTGGACCCATAACTACCAACATGTTGCTTGCTTCTGACATGAAGATACTATTAGGCTGAAAAAGATACAATGTTGGTTGAACATAAATATGTAATTCCACAGATTTCATGGACGCCAATGTTAGTGAGAAAAAGAATATCATATACTATCTTCAAGGTTAGCCACCAAGATGATTTCTCAAGATAAATTATAGTATCAAGAGAAATAGTAAGAGCAACTTACAACAAAGTCATTGTGTATGCTTTCAAGGATTGGATGCCTTCCAGCGTCAATTGCCAGTGGGCCACTATCTGCCAAACAGTATACAGACAAGTAAATTCCACAGAAAATATTGATATCATTTCACTTAAGATGCCGTGTATAAAAGATGTTGTACAATCTATTTCCTTTAATTTTTACTATGCGTAAAGTATTTTTCAAAAGTCCTTTAGAGCTAAGTAGCATATGATGGGAGGTTTTTGAGGAAAGATAGTGAGAGAGAGAGACAGCTACCTGTTAGTTCAGGTCTGGAGTATCGATCAACTGGCTTTGTGGATATTGAATGAGCAAATGAATTAACAATCATGTCTAGGAGGCATAAGACTTCTGCTAGGAGTGTGAGGACAGAGACATCTTCCCTGATAGCATCCATCAGTGCTACATACATTTCATGTAACAGCCATAAACGAACCAAACCAGATAGGACTGAAATAGATTGTGTCACTGCATAGAGTTGTGAGCAATGTGCAGTTATCCACCTTCCAGGCATGTTTCCGTTCGAATGAAACGCTCTCCAGCGGCAGACTTATTCCTGCCATTCAACTGCACAGTAGATCAATATAAAATAGATATTAATGAAACAATATGTCAAGTTGAATCTGAAACATAGCTCTTAATTATGCTAAACATCCATGGTGTTTCATGCCTTTGCCGGATTAAAATTTTGGGAGGGGAGTTTGTTCATTAAATATCATTTGCAGGAAACATTAAACTATGTACAGATATGTGTAGTGTGAGCCTTGACTAAATTACTTCCTAAACAGCCAAAAATGATAAAGCACCGAACAGAATCACACATGGAAACGACACATCTGAAATTGTGATGATTCAACTTACAGAGGCAAGTTCCAGACTTGAACAATGAATGTTTTTCCCATGTTTTACAACCTGGATCATATACCACGTTCAAGAAAAAATAAGTCAGGAAAACCATACATATAGATAGAACATTAAAGCTTTCCAGTGGAAGTGCGTTTTGACCTGAGTAAATTTGCTTGGAAGTTTTCCCTGAACATCCTTCTGCGGAATTCTAAAGAAGAAGCCCTGTCTGTTGTTGAATGGGAGTTTTAGATTTGGCAAGTTGAATTCCTCACGATACTTTCTGGCTAGGTTATGTATTGCTGCCATTGTTTACATGATTTTAGACTAGCAGAACAGATTTGTAAAAGAAAAAAAATCAGTGATAACACAAAGTGAAGCATATTGTTGATTCCACCTTCACTAGTATCACAGAAGGTTCTCCGTGCCATATCCAAAAATCCATCAATACCAGCTTTTAAAGCAAAACACTGCTGTGAGCGGGCAACAAAAGGTACTCGTGCATGAAGAACATCATCATCAATCACTTCCCCGACTCTGAAACATAAATACGATAAAGAGTCTAGTTATTTCGAAACTCTAAACTTTAGTAGGAAATGGAAAGCTTTTCAGAGACGAAGCTCATAGTTAATATCTACTAGCTAGATCCACTAGTGGCGTACCTTTTTCTGATGGCAGCATATCTATCATTTTCACAGACAGACTTGTAAATATTAGCAAGGAGAAAACACTTTGCATCCTTTAGAGCCTGCATTGAGTGCGACTAAGTTCAGGAGTCGATCATAGACATAGTTACCAAATCGAGCCAACAAATCAGATAACAAAATAGAAAGAAAAAAACACCATAGCAAGTAGAGGCAGAGCGTCCAAGGCAGTCTTCAGTAAAATAATGCTTGAAATCATGTTTTGGCTCCTTCTGGTATTATCAAAACCTAGGACCGCTTCAGTGACTTTCTTTGGCTTGAAGCAGAAATGACAAAGAACACGATCTGAAAGTTGTGGGAGATAGAAATCTCTTGAAATTATGTGATTAAAAACCAAATTTATATTGGATGCAACTATAAGAGTTCATGATCTTCTCACTTTACTTACCTGTCTCTTTTGGAAATTTACGTAAAACCTGTGAAAGCCCGTAGAATAGTTGTTCATTGCTCATCAACTCATCCTGCAATTAACAGAAGAGTAATTTTAAGAAGCTCTACAATGATCAAGAGCTGTAAATCGTCATATCAACCCTTAAACAGAAATCGAAATGGTATATTTTAAGAAGCTCGTTAGAAAATTTGACAACCAGATCACAACAAGATACTAACCAAGCAGTCCAGGCGAGTGTTGATAGTTTCAATATCTTTAAGGGGCTGCAACAAATTGGCACGAAGAAGCCTTGTCCTGACCAACAAATCATGGAAGAGCATTGCTATGAAGATTACAATTTAAATTCTGAAATACAGTTATAAAAAGTGTTTCAGATACCCGCCAACTGTTTTTGTTGTCTTGAACATCTGGAACAGACTCCTCTTCTTGTTGTTAGTTCCCAAAAGAGCATTATGGAATGGATCAATGATTTCCAGATTCTCAACACTACCATCAAACCAAGGAAACAGTTAAGCATAAGGGTATAATTCTGATGCTTAAATTCTCTATTATTCAATGGAATAGGAAGATAAATAGTATCACAGTACTCATACCTAGTTGCATCGATATTCATGTGATCGAAGGATCCATTAAAGGTTACCTACACATAGGCAGAACAATTAATAAAATGCCATCAGCAGAACCAAAAAAAAAGAAACTGATGGATACCAAAAAGAAAAAGAAAAAAAGAAACAATGACTCATGTTGCAAGGAAACTTTTAAATTACTTCAAAATACACCTTATCTAAGCAGATAACTGTATGAAAGAAAAGACATACAGTGAGTGAGTGGTTGGTGACAATCACACCCTTCTCGGCCTCTATCCTGCTTATGACACATCCCAAAACTCAGTATTTCAAAAACACCAAACTCATAACATACTGAAGCAAAAACAAGATTCAGGATGTAGGCACCATTTGATTATAGCAGCAGCAGCGGCTAGGGATAGATAATGCTGCTTATAGTAAGTGTCCAAACCAAGAGTCAAAGGTTCCTCTGAAGCCAAGTTTTGTATAAGCACGGCACCCTGAAAATTGGATATCCATTTAGAACACACATGACTACTATAAGAGGATCATGGATATCAACCTTGGTGTCATCAAAACAACCACGAGCAAACACAACCTGCAAGGCAAGAAATCATATACACTCATCTTTATCGATTCTCATGTATAGATTCATCTCCAATCCATGGCAAAGAACTCTCACCTTCCTGACGGCGTTGGTGCTATAACATCGATCCACCAATTCTGAAACCCCAACCATACCATCAGCTGCGAGTTTGTTGGGAGGAACAATAATGACGCAAGGATCATAGAAACGCAGCAGCGTCTTCGTG